ACTGGGGTGAGGTGAAACCTCATTGTGGTTTTGATTTGCATTTCCTTGACGGCTAGAGATCCTGAATATTTTTTCACGTGTCTGTTGGCCATTTGGATTTCCTCTTTTGAAAAATGCCTGTTAAAGTCCATGGCCCATCTCTAATAGAGTACTTAAAATGTAATGTATTGGAGTGAAATGGACATTTTGAGATTCACTGATTTTTTTTTACAGTCCTTGTCTCTTCCATTGAGGAACAGTGTTTCTTTCTCTTCATACTGCTTGTTGAACTCTTTTACTTAGTATAGGGTTAACTATACAATCATTAAGTAAACTGAGAATAGATCTTTGTAAAAATCAAAAAGTGGGAATGGGAGAGGGAGGAGGAAGAAGTGTTGCAGCATGGGCAGGAAGGAGGATAGGGTGGGAAGTAGCACTATGTTCCTAAATCTGTATATATGAAATATATAAAACTTGTATAACTTAAATAAAATTTTTAAAAAATGGGCCAATGATCTGAACAGTCACCTCATCAAAGTAGAGATACGAATGGTAAGCAAGCATACAAAAAATATATTACATATTGCTTTATATAGCATCAGGAAAGTGCATATTAAAACAATGACATAACATTATAGGCCTTTTACAATTACCAAAATCCAGAACATTCACCACACTAAATTCTGGCAAAGGTGTGGAACAATGGAAATGCTCATTCATTGTTGGTGAGAATGAAAAAGTGTATACCCACTTCGGCAATTTCTTACAAAACTATATATTCTTACTGTACATTCCAACTATTCCACTCCTTGGTATTTATTCAAATGGACTGAAAACTTATGTCTGCACAAAAAAGTATATGTGAATGCTTATAGAAGCTTTATTCATTATTGTCAAAACTTGGAAGCAAACAAGACAAGTCATTTGTGGTATATCTAGGCAATGGAACACTTGTATTATTCAGCATGATAAAGGATGAACTATTAAGTAGTGAAAAGACATGAAAGAATCTTAAATGATATTGTCAATTAAAAGAAACCAATCTGAAAAGGCTATAAACTATATAATTGTATTTGTACAACATTTTGAAAAGGCAAAACTGGGTACATTTAAAAAATTAGTAATTGACAGAGGTAGGGGGAATGAATACATGGAGCACATAGGATTTTTATGACAGTTGTAATACTTAGAATATTGCAATGGTAGATACACGTCACCATACATTTGTCCAAACCCATAAGCCTCCACAATACTAAGAGTGAATGTTAACATAAACCACAGACTTAGCAATGTAGACTCATCAACTGTAACAAATGTACTGAGAGATTGATAAAGGAGAAGGCAATGATGTGTAGAGGCAGTGGTTATATGGGAAATCTCTGAAGCTTCTTCTCAATTTTGCTCTTAATCTACAATTCTCTAAAAAGTAAAGTCTTCAAAAACAAAATAAATTGGGATTGGGCATTTAGCCTAGCTGTTAAGATACCCATATTTCATACTGGAGTGTTTGGATTTGATTACTAAGTCTTGATTCCTGACTCCACTTTCCTGCCAATGCAGATACTGAGAGGCAGTGATTATGGCTCAAGTAACTGGGTTACTACCACCTATGTAGATCACTTGCATTGCATTACTGGCTCTTGGCTTCAGCTCTAGCCCAGACACACCCATTGTGGGCAGTTAGGAAGTGAACCAGGAAATGGAAGTGTGTTTGTCCTCATTCTTATTCTCTCTCTCTCTCTCTCTCTCTCTCTCCCCCCTCACTCTCTCTAATCAATTTTTAAAGTTCAATTAGGCTTTGTATGTCATATGATCTATGTCACAACTACTCAACTCTGCAATTATTGTGCAAAACATCTACAGGCAAATACATGGACACAAATGCCTTCCAACAAAAGTGTACTCATAAGTCAATGGACCAAATTTGCCCATGAGCAGTTTGCCAACCCTATTGTACACACTTGAACTTAGTTTGTCTCTCTGATTCTTGGCCCTATATGCTATTCTGGGTATAAGTTATCCCTATCTTAAGCTCTCTGACTCAGATTTTTTATTTATTTATTTATTTATTTTTTGACAGGCAGAGTGGACAGAGAGAGAAAGTTCTTCCTTTTTGCCGTTGGTTCACCCTCCAATGGCCGCCACAGCTGGCGCATCGTGTTGATCCGAAGCTAGGAGCCAGGTGCTTCTCCTGATCTCCCATGCGGGTGCAGGGCCCAAGGACTTGGGCCATCCTCCACTGCACTCCAGGGTCATAGCAGAGAGCTGGCCTGGAAGAGGGGCAACTGGGACAGAATCTGGCGCCCCGACCGGGACTAGAACCCGGGGTGCTGGTGCTGCAGGCGGAGGATTAGCCTATTGAGCCGTGGCGCCGGCCAGATTTTTTTTTAAATGATTTTATTTATATATTTGGAAGTTACAGAGAGAGGGAGAGAGAGACAAAGAGCTCTTCCATCTGCAGGTTCACCCCCCAAATGACCACAACAGCCAGTGCTAGGCCAGGCCAAAGCCAGGAGTCGGGAGCTTCATCTGGGTCTTCCACATGGGTGACAGGGATCTAAACACACAGGTCATCTTCCGCTGCTTTTCCCAGGCCCATTGGCAGGGTGTTAGATCAGAAGTGGAGCATCTGGTACATGAACCAGCACCCATATGGGATGCCAGCATTGCAGGCAGGCAACAGCTTTACCCACTATATCACAATGCTGCCTCTCCCCACAGACTTTTTAACATCCTCAGACTACCTTAGCAGCGAATTTATGTAAAATTCATCATGTCCATTATTATCTTCCCCAAACAAACTTGCTTTTCTCACCACAGTCCCTGTAAGTGATTAACATTTTTCATCCAAGGCAAGTGGAAGTTAGAAACCTGGTTGTTGACTTTGACTTATCTCCTTCTTGCTAGCCACTCAAAAAAATATCTGTTGATTCTCTCCCTAAAACACTATTACATCCGCTCCTTCTCCCCACCCTATCCCCTGCCTTAGGCCCAAGCCCTTGCCACTTCTTGGTTAGAATAACATTTTCCAGAAACATAAGATTACTTGCAGTACTCCAATATGCTGTGATGTTTTATATATCATTGCCACTACCCTTCCCCTTAACTCCTACTCCCACCCACCTTTGGTCTTCCCACTTAACTGTTAGTCATTATTCAAAACCAAGTTCAGACTTTCCCTTTTACATTTAATCACTGCCTCCTCAAGGCCACTCGGTTTAAATAGCATACCCTTAACAATCCCAAGACATGTGTTACAAGAGCCCCCAAGTTCATGAATAATGGAAAATTTAAGTACTAGAATCTTATGGCAGGAATTTGGCATAGAGGTTGACACTGCTTAGAATGTTCACATCCCATATCAGAGTGCCTAGGTTTGGGTCCTGACTCTGCTCCTGATTCTAGTTTTCTAGTGTTGCACCTTTTTGGAGGTAGCAAGTGATGGCTTAAGTACTTGGGTCCCTGCCACCTACATAGGAGACCTGGATTGAATTCTGGGCTCCTGGTCTCAGCCTGACCCAGCCCTGGATGTTGCAGGCATCTGGGGAGTAAACCAGAGGATGGGATATTTGTGTCTCTCTCTCCCTCTCTCTCTCTCTCTCAAATAAATAAACAAAAAAATTTTAAATAACCTTCAGGTCCAAATAACCATGTTACTTAATATTGTAATTAATGTCAACTTTGCATTTCATTACATTGTCATTTTAGTAACATCAACTGTAAAGTTCATTTAATCTAAAAAGAAACAATAAAATTCTGATCACTTCAGGAAATTTATTGCATATGTAACCATACATGGAGAAAAGAAAGCAGTCTTGTAGAAATCCTTGCTCCCACACAACAATCACACAGAATGTGAAAAAAACCACAGGTCCCAGCAAAATCACAAGTTTCTTCATGTAACAGACTTTTGGAAATCATTAAAACAGTAAGTGTCAAATACATAAATGCCAAAAGCATTTCTACTTTTGCACTTGTGTCAGTGAACACCTATTGCCCAGATCAGAACATAAAGGTCATACAGATAGGCCCCCTGCTTTGTCATTCTTTTTATATCAAAGCTGTCCTAACAGAAAGCACCACTTCAAAAACATTTGGCGAATTGGCTCCTAATTGGTCTCACTGCTTCTAGGCCATCTTCCTCTTCAAAATCCTGCCAGTTCCTTTACAAAAACTCATCCTTGATGTCACTGTATTTCCCCAAAACCTTTAATGCCTGTTGCTAGTCTCTGGTACAGGATTATGTCCCCACAGGGAGGCAGGGCATCTATGAGCCTTCACATCCTGGCCCCAGGCTATACTCCCAGTCTCATTCCCAGCCTCTCTCCTTCACTAACGTTCTCTTCAAGCCACGCCAGCTGTCCCTGGAACAACTTTTGGACTTTTCATTACTCTGCATCTTTGCAAATGCTGTTTCTTCTGTCTGAAAGGCCCTCCCCTTCTCATCTGCTTGCAAAACTTTCATTTGTTAATAACGCTCAGCTGTAGTAACATCACTACCTTTGTAGTTTTCTGACCTCTTTCAGAATCACAGTCTCCCTCATTTGTTTTTTTCTGCACCAAAGTGTTGATTACGAAAATAGACCAAGCTAATTCTGCAGGGGGTTAAGAAGCACCCTTTCAACCGACTTACCCCGGCAGCAACTGCGGCGCTACGTGTTAAGCATATTATTCGAGCAGCAATGGGAAGATGGGACCGGATGACCTTTAAGTCCGGAGATGCTATGGTTCGCATTTTTCACACTGTGTCTGTGTGTACTCGTGTGTGTTGGAGGTGGAGGAGGCAAGCAGGGAGAGGGAGACAAAAGGAGAAGGGGGAGGGACAAAAAGAGACAGAGAGGGACAAAGATAGGAGAGAAGAGGGTGGACGCAGTGCAGTAAGAGGAGATGGGCGGACCCCTATTTCTTCCGCTTTACAGTTTTGCAGAGGTCCAGCCCTGCCAGCATCTAGCGCTGAAGCGTGGGGGAGGGGGGTGGAAAGGGGAGGGCCCGCACTTCCTCTGAGCGTGCCCAGCCAGGACTGCCTGACGGATAACCTTCTGCTCCAACAAGGCCAGTTCCTCCACGCCGAGACTCACGCCTATTGTACCAGGCACGACGCACTCGGCCGCGCAGCCCCACAGGTGGGATCGGCCGGCGTGGGCCGAAGGTTCCCGCCAGGCTAGGCAGTGGAGCGCCGCACAGCGCGCCTTCCCGCCTCCCAGCCGCCGCCCCAGCAGTTCCGACCCAGCGCCAGCAGGCCTGCTCGGTCGATCTTCGAGCCGAAGATGCGGCGGGGCTGGAAGATGGCTCTGTCCGGGGGGCTGCGGTGCTGCCGCCGAGTACTGTCCTGGGTGCCAGTGCTCGTTATTGTCCTCGTCGTGCTCTGGTCCTACTATGCCTACGTCTTTGAGCTCTGCCTGGGTAAGTGGGGCTGGGCACCTAAGGTGGGGAAATTATGCTCCGGCATAATCGTCTGCCCTACCCTTCACACTGGTGTCCCCTGTGTTCTTAGCCCTCAGTCTGCGGTTTTCGTTTCGTTCTCCGAAGAGTGACCTGTCCCCAACCTCTGCCTTCCCACATTATCTCCTGTGCCCTCCCACGAGGGTCCCGCCATGTCACCATCGCCTCCCAGCTAGGGATTCTTATTTCCTTGTCCTACCCACAGTAATTTCCTGGCTGTTCCCATTAGGGCCCCCTTTCTCATACAAGGCAACCCCTGGCGCCTTGTGCTCTCATTCTGGCGACCCCCACTCTACCCAACTGAGGAAACAACATACCCCGTGTCCTTAAACTGCCCGCTTACCACTGTGAATTCCACCACTGCGTCCAACTAGGAAACCTACCGTTTTCCCTCCTACTGGAATCCCTCTAGGATTCCATACTAAGGATTTCTTGCTAAGAACCTCAAAATATTTCCTCTACTCCCTGGCTCTCCTTCCTCCCCCCTCACCCCAGGGTCCATCCTTTTCCCGAGATCGTCTCACACTAGCTGAAGTACATCGTGTCTTCATCCACTTGTGACCCCAAGGAACACCTTGTTCTATCCCACTGTGATCTTCCCCTTACAGCAGTAAGCCCTTCTCCTTCCGGGTGGGCTCTCCCATTTCCTCATCTTCTCCCAGGGAATGGGAGTTCTACACTACATTCTCTCCCCTCACACTGGAGCTCCTGATTGTATCACACGGTGTTCCCTCCAGTCTCCTGCTTACCTGCTTTGAGGAGCACTCCACTCATTCTCGTTAGGGACCTCACTTTACTATCGGATACTTCACACTGGTGACCCTGCTTTTGTCACACAATGATCCTGCCTGTCCCCCAGCTTCTCACACTACATGTTTCTCTTTACTCTCCCCAAAACGCTCCACAATCTCACTCATTTCCCTTCAAAGGGCCACTGTCTTGTAACCATGATTCCTCCTTGTTACCATTTTTGGGAAACCCACTTGGCACTGCTCTTCACTATTATTATTTCCTCTTACTTCTCTCTAGGATTGCATTTGTCCTCTGTCTTCTCAAACTAGGAAACCCTATCAATTCCCACTAGATTTCTAATATTTTGTACCTCCTCCAGTGGGAGTATCATTTCTTGTTCCCTCTATTAAGACCATTTCATTTATAATTCTGTGATCTTCTCTTATACCCTGTCCTGTCGCGTTAAGGAGCACTTCATCTTCTCCTTTTTATAAAATTGTTCCCACAGTCTATCAAGTACTTGCAAACTCAGAATTTCACAGTATTTCCTGATACAAACCCCAGTCCCTCCCCAACTTGGCTTCCTCCTGGTTCTGTATCTTTAATAGCCTTGTAATGTTCTCATCAACTCACAACAGAATTTTTTTTAACATTCATTTTATTTATTTGAAAGGCAGTTACAGAGAAAGGGAGAAACAGAGAGAGAAGGCACTCCCCAAATAGCTACAACAGCCAGAGCTGGACCAGTCTAAACCCAGGAGCCAGGAGCTTCTTCTGGGTCTCCCATGTGGGTGCAGGGAATCAATCACTTGGGCCATCCTCTGCTGCTGCCAGGACATGGGACACTACAAGCGGTGGCTTAACCCATCACGCCACAACGCCAGCCCCCACAACAGAATTTTTATATTATATCTTATCTCTTCACAATAGAGCTCCCACTTTTGCCCCCCACTAAACTCTTCCATTGCCCTTGTCTTCTCACACGTTGAAGTATCTCCATCTCCTCTGAAAGTCTGCTATTTTCTTAGCACTTCAATACCATATTCCTACTGCCAGCACCCTTAAATTTCTCATCTATTGTGTTTCCTATTCATTGACTGTAAGGTTCCAGTATATTTCCAGTGCCCTCACATTAGGACTCCTAATTGCCCTACTGGACATCCCTTCATTCCAAAGTCCTTCCAAGACTCCTTCATTTCTTCATACCAAACTTTTCTCACCTTACAAATTATAGCTGGGGTGCTTTTTTTTTCCAGCCCCAGGACCTGACACCACTTATAACTTCGTTCTCATACATATATTTTAAATTCTCTTTCTTTTTAATCATGCTTTATTTATTTAAGAGAGAAAGACAAAGAGACAGATACCACTCCCATCCTCTGGTTCACCCCCTAAAATGTCCACAGCAGCAGGGACTGGGCCAGAGTTAGAGCCAGGATCTGAGATCACAATCTAGGTCTCCAATGTGGGTAGCAGGAACCAAATTACTTGAGCCATCACCACTGCCTACAAGGGTCTGCATTGGTAGGAATGCTGGAGTCAGGAGTTATGGCCCGGAGTTAAACCCAAGCACTCTGCTGTGAGACACGGGCATCTTAACTGATAGACTGAATGTCCACTCCCCCTTCTCTTGCAATAGTCAACTCCCAGGTAGACTGGGATGAACTATAGACACAAGAGATGACCCTTGCTTCCAATATAAAGTTTGAATTTTCCTTACCTCCTTCTTGAAGATATTGTGGGAAATGCAGAAGGATCTCTTAAAAATAAATTTCAGTGAATGAAAAACATGTAATGTTGTACAAATGGTTATTTGTGACTTGGGGTAACATTTTAGTGTCTTCATTCTACACAGGAGAAAATTTTCTAGAAAAGAAAATGAAATTTAAAAAATTTCATTAGTTGACTACTCAGATATGGGTTTATGCTGTTGTCCTTTTTATCTTAATCTATTATTAAGGTGTATTAAAAAAAGATTGTTCAATGACTTTGGCTTTTTGAATGACTGAAGGGTCAAAACTTTAATTCCATTATTATGGTAAGGACATTGCTCCTAGGATCAATACTATATGATAAGAACTATTAAATGTATTTTGGAGTTTCTCAGTAATGACTTACATGAGCTTTTCCAAAAAACATCTTTTTAAAAATTAGTAATGATAATGCCTAATGCTTATAATGTGTTTCCTCTTTGCCAGATTTGAGGTACTGTAGATATATTCACTTTTTACATATTAACTCATTTAATCCTCAAAATAACCGTATGAGACACATATCCCCATTGTGCAGATGTGTAAACTGAAGCGCAGATGAACAAACTGAGGTAAAGACCAAGTTAGAATCAGTACAAATAATCAGCTTTCTATAAATTCTTACTTAACTGCATACTGTTAAAAACTGAAAGGTTGGCCGGTGCCGCGACTCACTAGGCTAATCCTCCACCTGCGGTGCTGGCACCCCGGGTTCTAGTCCTGGTTGGGGCACCCGATTCTGTCCCGGTTGCTCCTCTTCCAGTCCAGCTCTCTGCTGTGGCCCGGGGAAGGCATTGGAGGATGGCCCAGGTCTTTGGGCCCTGCACCCACATGGGAGACCAGGAGGAAGCGCCTGGCTCCTGGCTTCGGATTGGCGCAGCACCAGCCGCAACTTGCCGGCCGGCCAGCCATTTGGGGGGTGAACCAACGGAAGGAAGACCTTTCTCTCTCTCTCTCTATCTCTTTCTCTCATTGTCTAACTCTGCCTGTCAAAAAAAAAAAAAAAAAGAACTGAAAGGTAAAGCTTAGGACTTATTTGATATACTTGCAAAACACTTGATACATGCCAGACACTGTTTGTAAGTGACTAACACATACACACACACACACACACACACATGCATTCATAGGCACACAAGAAAAGCACGTGGCCATGTACTTAATTATAACAATTTTAAGAGGTATATACTATCAATATGCCCATTTTATAGACAAGCAGACTGAGGAACATACAGATTAAGTACTTTAACAAAGGTCACAGAGCTAGTACATGGCTAAACCTATATACTTAGACAGCTTGGATCCAAACCCTATGCTCTTAACCACTGTACTGTCTTAATACCTTGCCTCCTCTCTACTAACATAGAGGTCAAAAGTTGTGACTTGCAGGCCAGAAGTAGCCTGCAGATCTATTTTATTTGGCCCACACATGTTTTCTTAACATTTTGCCTCAGTTACCATTATTCAAAAATCAGGAAAGCAGAGTAGTATATTCACAGTGTTGTGCAATCATCACCTCTATGCAGTTCCAAAAATATTTCCATCACCCCAAAAGGAAACCTCACGGGCATTCAGCAGTCACTCTCTATTAACAAGGACCTGGATTGGAAGTGGAGCAGCTGGGACTCAAACCTGGGATGTCAGTGTCTCGAGTAGCAGCTTAACCCACCGCACCACACTAGCCCTGTTAATTCTTTAAATGTTTAGCAGAGACTACATAAATAAAATAAAAATTGAGTCAAAAAATGTTTAGTAGAATTCACCATTGAAGCCATATGGGCCTGGGATTTTCTTTGTTGGAAGGTTTTTTTTTTGTTTTTGTTTTTGATTTTGATTTTTTTATGTTAGAGACTCCGATTCCTCTCTTGATCTGTTAGAATTTTCTATTTCTCCCTAATTCAGTATTGATAAGTTGTATATTTCTCAAAATATACCCACTTTCTTTCAGGTTTTCCAGTTGTTCACATGTAATTGTTTGTAGTAGTCCCTTATGATCCATGTGTTCTTGTGGGTAAAAAGGAGAGAAAACTCAAATAAATAAAATTATAAATAAAAGAGGAGCTCTTATTTATTTCTACTCTAGTCTTTATTATTTTCTTTATTCTGCTAACTTTGGACCTGGTTTGTTCTTTCCTTTTTCTAGTTCTTTGAAATGCAAAATTAGGTTGATTGAGATTTTTTTTATGTAGTCAGTTATTGCTGTCAACCTCTTAGTTTTTCTTTTGCTTCATCCCAGACATTTTCATACATTGTGCTTTCATTTTCACTTGTCTTGATATTTTTTTTCTTTTTGATGACCTCAGGGTTGGTTTTAATCATCTGATAATGGACTCCTTAGTACTGCAATAAACAATCCAAGCAGTGGCCCAACCCATTGTGCCACAACAGTCACCCCTACTTGCACATTTTTAAGGTCTACAACACAATATTTTAACACATATACAGATCTTAAACCAATCATACCAAGAAACTAGCCTT